ATGAAAAAAAGATATTTCTAACAGAAAAAAATAGGCAAAGGAAACAAAAAGAATTTTAGATTAAACGCAGAGTTAAAAGAATGTATAAAATATGCTGTTTGCTGGTGGTCTGAACACTACACACTTAACAATGAAACATAATATGAGACATATCAAATTGGTAAAGATTAAAGAAAAATGTTACATAACGCATGTGATAGTTTTGTAAAACTGTTGGAGGGAGAGTAAGTCAGGGCAACTAACCCAACTTTTCTGGAGAGCGATTTGGTAATATATAGCAAGCCTAAACAATGTTTTTGCACTTTCACTTGGTAATTCTACTTGCAGGATTGAGCTGTAAGAATTCTAAAGAAATATTCAAAGAAATTTTAGACACGGTCTTATGCATTAGGTTGTTTTGTTCAGTATGTATCAGACAGTAGAAGAGTAAAATTGTGATGGAACCATAGGATGGAATATTAAGGAATATTATGAACCTATAACAGCATTGATCCTTGTTCAATACTGAAGGTTTTTTTTAAAGGTTTTGTGTATATGCACTATATGTACAATAAACTGTACATATAGTATATTCCAAGTTTTATAAGCTACATAGATATATACCCAGAAAATACAGAAAAGAATATACCAAAATGAGAAAGTGAGAAATTCTCTCTGTGGAAGGTGGATTTTTGTCTTTGTGCTTTTTTTTATATTTTACTAAATTTTTGGCAATGAGTACATATTACTTTTATTATCAGAAACATGTAATAATAATCATGTAAAATGCACCATGCAGCCTCTCAAATATATTTTGCACATTGTATTTCCATGAAAGCAAATGAAAGGATCAATTTCCTCTGCAGAAAAACCTTAAAGGATGTTCTGAAAAGCATCCAAAAGCAGGCACCTTTGTGATAGCAGGCCAATGGAGGGAGAGCAGGCTCCAGATAACGAACTGGCCCCTGAGGATCACACGTGGAAGGGTCTCGGGAGCCGCCAGTGTCCCTCTAGTAATGAACTATGTGGGTGGGAGAGGAATGTGATCTTTACATAATTAAGATTAGGCGCTTTCAGAGCCACAGCAGAATTCAGGCATTTAGTGGGGGCAATGCGATGATTCTCCCATTTCATTTTTTTCTCCCCTCTCTCGTATCGCTCTCCTTATAATTGTTTTACCACTCCAACCCCTAGTTGAGATCTTGATAGTGATTTCTGGATTAGGCACGCAATCTGTGAATTATCTATTCCTTTGAAAATCCATTTTTCCAATCTCATGTTATTTTTCTATTATCATTGGGATGGGCTGAACCACGAAGCATGCTTGGACTTCCAGGTCAAGTGGAAAATAGTAGGAAGGTGGATTAGAGAGATGCAAGCTTCAGGCTAGAGGACCAACCTGGCCCAGAGGAGTGGCCCCTGCTAGGGTAACCAGGCACCTGAGCATAGGCCCAATGTGCTGTGGCCAACTCCATCCAAGTCCAGGAGGCTCAGGTGGGAGTGATGCTTGGAGGCAGGCAGGCGGCTGCATCTGTAGACCTCTGATAGGCTCCCCTGGAGTGACTGATGAGAGGCGAGGGGCTAGGGATCCACCCTGGACAGAGGAGGCTTGCAAGACTCAGGTAGCATGTAGGGGACCCAGAAATGCAGGCAAGGGAACAAGAGGACAAATGGAAACCAAGGCAGATGACAAGCTGCATGAATTGGGTGCACACTAACTCAGCCTTTTAAACTCTGCTGACCAACCACTCAACTTAGATGCACAGAAAATGAAGCCGCCAAGAGTAGCAATTTAGGATGATCTCCCTGGAATCCTCATACTGAGCCCCTCACGCCCCTTTCCCCTACCTGTTCTCATCTACCAGGACGTTCAGCTCCATATCCTGGCCTCACGTCTGCTTCTGCTCTTCTATTTGCTCACTCCCCCAGATTTCTTCTGGCTCTTGATTCTGAGCCTCCTGGATGGACTGGAAACTACAGATTGAAGGTATTAGGGTCTGATCTGAGATGGGCTCTTGGGGGGAAGTTTCCTCAGACACTTTCCCCTGCTTATTATCACCTCCAGAACGGAAAACAGATTCCCAGAGGCTTATTTTTTAATTATGTGGATAATCATGTAGAATAGTTCCTTGATATTTTTATTACATGGTAATCACTTTGGTTTCTACTACACTATAGAGATTTGGACCTAATTTATCCAAATGTTAGTTTTCTATATTTCAGCGGTCCAGAGCTCAAATAGCAATTTCAATGTTAATCTCAGTTCTTGGTGCATATCAGGCTCCTCTTTCGTTTGTTCAACAAATATTAATTACTACCTGGACTTGGAGCCCGGTGGGTTTTGAGATGATTTCTAACATCTGTGGTCTGGTATATTATGGGAATTCAGATGGAATCCCAGAATTTAATTGCCTCAAAGCTTCCAATACACCCAATTTGTGATTAATCTGGGACCCTTTTGTGATCCAAGAAGGGACTCACGTTGAAATGAATGTGGGACACTGGAGTTTCTGTTTCTGGTGAAATCTGAGAATTTACTAGTAACCAGAAAGCTAAATTGGACAGTCATGTAGATGCAGTCCCATGCACCAAACCCTGCTTGAAATGAGAACAATTAGGCAGTGGGAAATTAACATGGCTAATTAAATACTAAACATGAACCATAGCAGTGATGATAAAATACTCCAGACCAATAACTAACCCTTTCTGGTCAGAGTAGAAAGAGCTGATGCAGGTATTCAATACGTCCTGGAGGCTAAACTAAGAAATAAATGTTAGGCTGAACTTTCCTGTTCAGCCCCACTTTGAAGGAAATAAAGTTATATTCTGTCACCTGTGATAATGGTGTTGAGGGATAGGGCAAAGGCAGTTCAAGCCATGGAGGCAATTAGAGAAGATTCCAGACGGAGAAGAATCTTTTCTTTTGGTACCAAGTTCTTCTAACTCAGGACAAAGACCCAGGGTGGACCTTGCCCCATTTTTTAAATAGTTGGTTTTCAGCACAAAGGACCAGTTCTCATCATAAGCCCTTCTCTGCTCTGTGACCACATGTAATGCTCATGGATGGCCCCTCTCTACCCTCACTAACCTTAAAGTTTCCACCCTTCACTTAGACTGTGCCACACACTCTACTTCTTTGCTTGGCTGCTTCTACTCATTTCTTCAGACTCAGCTCACATATTAATATCTCCAGGTTAAAGCTTTTCACCAACATGTTCAGCCCCTCCTCAACAACATGTCCGTTATTTGGGATTCTACAACATCTCCATTATAGTAGCTCACGTTGAAAATTATTGTTTACATATATGCCTCCACCATCAGACTCTGAGCTCCTTGGCTTAGCCTTCCTTTTATCCCCAAAGTATGTTGAACTTTGCTACTAGATTCTCAATAAATGTTTGTTGAACTTGACTATACAGAATGCACACCAGTGTAATCATGTTCACAGCAACATGATTCCAAGGATAGTTTCCCACTTCTGACCTGAGTATCACTTCTATAACAACATATATATTCCAAGGCTCTCCTCTTGGGGTAAATGCCTTCCCCCTCTGAGGTACTACATGGGAATTCACAGAATAACTCTTAGTCCACAGCTAGTTGGGACCGTCTTGGTCCACAGCCCTGCTGTCAACCTCAACAGACCCTGACTGCTATACCTCCTAATCCATTCACAGTCTCTATTCTTCATGCGGGAGGCCCCCTGTCAGCTCGTCCCACCAGCCCCTAGTCAGAGGGTGCAACCTACATCCCTGCTCTGGACCCCTGTTAAAGTGATATGAAAAGCCTTACAAAAAATGGAAAACTTGAATTAACAACCACACTTATATGTAGCTTTATATAATTTTCCTATTTCTTATAATAGTAATTAATTTAAAAGTCTTGTTATATATTTTTTCCTAATTGACTATTAGAAATGAAGGCTATCCTGGGTAATCAAAGATAGAATTCCCATAGCTCCAGGTAAAACAGTTGGAAAAGGTGAATGCAGATAGACGGTTGTGATGATGATAATTCAACTGTATTTGCGAGGGTGTCTCCCAGCTGGGTTCCTGAGACGATGGTGAAAGCGCAGATTTTCCAAAGGGGCATCCTCAGGAGGAGGTGGTTGTGGGGAAGAAGCCAACGTGGGCGCTCCTGAGCAAGCCCGATCCTGCCTCCACGCCTCCTGGTTGAGCGCAACTGGTTGTTAACCATGTGGCAGTGCCTCTGAAGCTGCAGGTGGGGCGAGACACGGGGAGAAGTTGAGACAAACTCCTGAATGAGAAGTTCTCATCTGTTCATAAATGGTTCCTACCCAGGGGTCTCCAGATCCTCTTAATGTATCCCATTCCCCAAGTCTAATTAAACAGCTCCAGGAATCCAAAGCTGTGCAGTCTGTTCCTACTTGTCTCGCTTTAAACTGTGCGCTGCCTGTGTTACACAATGATTCATCCTCAATGGAATTAGACATTTTCATATATCTGCTTTTGATATTTCCAACCCACCTAAGCAAACTAATGAAGCTTGGAGCAGCCTCAGAGCCCGGGTGCTGTGAATAGGGGGCACCCGGGGCTCAGCGACAGGACAGTGCAGCCGCTTTGCCTGCTCACTGAGAACTGAGGCTCAGTCATAACCTTTCTGAGACTTCATTTCCTCTCTTGGGAAGTAAGCTATATGTGCTCCTTCCTGTGTTTGAGATATTCCTCTGCAACATCACAGAAATAACCATAATCATAAAATAAACCATGAAAATGTAAGGGGTACAGAAAGTTCTATGATGCCTGGGACAGATGAGGCAGCCACATCTTGTGTGATGTTTATGACTACTGTTGTGTGGAAGCCACATGTGGCTCCAGTGTCCAGCCATTCGAACACATACTGAGCATTGACCTTACGCTCAGTCCTGGGTGAGACAGTTTGAAACGGACTCAGCTCCAGAAACCCAGCTTCAGAATAAGTTTTGGGTCAGAAGGAAAATGAAGGTATTTCCCACTTGAAAATTGAAAGCAAATGAGGCAACTTCACTATCTCTGGCCCCAAATTGGAGCAGAAAACCACCTCAGGAAGCAGGGCATGGACTTTTCAGTCAAGCAAAGCAATGTTCAAATCCCAGCTGCATCACTTATGAGCCAGGTAGCGCAGGTTAGTAACTTCTCTCAGCCCCCTTTCCTTACCTGTAATGTTGAAGACAGTGACGTCTCATCAGTGAGGTGGCGATGATTAAGTGAGCAGTGTGTAAAGCTTTTCAAACTATGTTTAGCACATGACAATGGATCAACAACAAATATTTGTTCACACCTACTGTACATTATAAATAAAGTCAGTCACGTGCTAGGTGATTCGCTCAAATAATGTTAGTTCCCATTCACTCTACGATCGTGAAAGATACTTTAGACTTTTTTTTCCAGTTTCCAGGACTCCACTGGAAAAGAAGACTATTATTCCTTGAATTTGGATAAGTCATGTCTTCCTCTCCAGACAAATATGACATATCCAATTTCAACTAGAGTCACCCAACTAAATCTAATTTCAACCAGAGTCACCCGACTAAATGTCCTGTATTTCATGACATAATTCTCATTTCAAATAACCTCCTCTTTGATACTTACAAGTACCCTTGCACTTGTCATCACCCATATATTCATCCAACAGATATTTATTAAGCACTTTCTATGGGGAAGGAAGACTGCCAGCCTGGAATGGAGACCCAGACATAATGCCTACCCTCACAGGCGTCCTTTTGGTTCTGGAGGTATATCACATGGTATTCTTGGGATACGATGCAATATCCCAGGATATCCCACAGGTATCAGGCCTGTGGCGTCACCAGCATCTTCACGGCAATTCATCCCTCTAAATCCCAGGTTGTAATTTTCTGGCCTGCAGATAGCTGATGTCACTGCATGGCCTCATTAACCTGAGGTTTAAAACCAATTGGTCATGAGCCCACAACCATGTAACTGAGTTGAAAACACTCTAGTCTTTAGTCATTGAAAATTCGAAGTTCACCTGTTGCTTCTACTTAGTACTAAGCATCTTTCTGGAATTTTGCCTCACATGACCACTAGGGGGCATTTAATCCCCAACTATACTCCGCAATAATTCTGAGAGTGGTGTTGGGACACTATCAGTCCCTTCCCGGGAAGTGGGGAGTGTGTAGGTGGAGTGTCTGTTAGGCTCAGGCGAAATTCCAATAGACTGGAACTGAAAATAGGACAAACAGGGTGAACTCAAGCATCATTTGGAAATGGTAGTGAGTTATTCATAAATCACCCCTCAAACTTGTATGTGGTCCGTGAAAGTAAGGAAGGAGATAAATCAATTTTTATTGTGTGTATACTATGCATCAGGCACTGAGCTAGAAATCTCCATTTTTATCATCACATCTATTCATCACAAGTATCCTGAGGCAGATTTTATTTTTATCTTCATTTTATCAATGAGAAAACAGGCTCAGAGAGGTTATCATTTACTGATGCATCACACATCCAGCAAGTGGCAAAGAATCTGATTCCACATCAGCCTGGTTTCAAAGCCTACCCACTTTTCTACCAAATCCCTTACCTGATTGTGATGCTCAAATGTCTCTGAACTTGTTTCCTAAATTCCCATTGTCATAATTTTCCAAATCCTCAAAATGCCCTGGGATTTGCGTGTTTATGTGCATGTGGTACATGGGTAAGAATGCTATGAATAAATGATCCTACAACTAAGTGTTTTCATACTTAATGACCCTTGTACTACTTGATGAAACAGAATTTAAACAAGGCTGAGTATAATTTATACACTCTTCATGTTTTATTCTCTCTTGTAGCGCCAACACCTTACACTGTAGACAATTAATTGATGTTGAATGAATTAATAAAACAAATAAATAAACATGGCTTTTAGGAAGACTCCAGAAAGCAACAGTGGGGGATTTCCTCCATCTGGAAGTTTCCTGAAGCCTGTGAGATAAGGTTAGATTGTCTTCCAATAGAAAACTCCAAAGCGGGAGGATGGGGCCTGATTTCACAGGATTTGCTCAGCATGCCCCATAGCCATCATCCAATCCGAAGGAGAATAGACCCTGTCCTGTTTACAGAGTGCCTTGGGTCTACCAACCCAATGCACAGTTAGCGCAAGCTCCTAAGATAAAGGCTCAGCCAAGCCAGCACTGACTGCAACAACCCTCCTGAGGCTTGACTTCCAATTCACTGATACATCTAACCAAGATAATTTGATTTGCAGTGTTTGTGAGTCTGTGCTCCCAGCAGAGCAGATCTGAGCCCCAAGCCTACTTTGAAGAGATTGGATGGCTGGGTCAGGACTGTGCAGTACAAAGATGAAGAAAACAGCCATTCCATGCCCACTGGGAGGCCAGAGAGCTCCTCCACTGGAGAGAAACTTGATTTCTGGAAATCTGAACTTTGGTGCCAGCAGCATAATCACCAAGAGCCATGCAAAAAGCAGACTGTTTACCCACTTCAGTGTTATTTTTCTGGAAACGTGAGCTAACCGTAATAACCACAGGCAGTTAGTTATGTGAAGAAAGAGGAGCAGAAGAGAGATATATTCCGGAAAAAAACGTTAACTTCTACTTCAAAATTACCTGGAGTTCACTCGATTAATTCTCCTCCTCTTTCTAATTCTCATCCAAAAGGCCTTCAGAGGGTAATTTTAGTTGAAAAAAAATTTTGTCAGAAGTAGAAAATAGGGAAGGTTGACAGCCACCTGCTGGAAAATTGGAGGAATCTCTATGAGAGGTCGACAGTCTGAGGGCAAGGCAGACAGCCTCATTTGCTCTCTCCTACGAAGTAAGAGTCTCCCTGGAGAATCAGCAGAGGGGAGACTGGCCCGAGGGGAATTCCACTACAGGAGGAGTCCAGAGGCCAAGACGGGGGCAGATTTCTGCGGGAAGTTCACTGATTGCCACAGACTTCATGGAGGAGAGCAGTGGCCAGTTGCTTTCTCCCAGAAAGAGATGTGGGCATCTGAGCAGGGCCATGAGTGGTGCTGGTGAAGACAGACTCTCAGGGAGGAAAACAGCCCTGTGTCCACTACCTTCCTGTCACCCTACCATCGCCGGCAGAGTAGCATTCCTCCAATGTCTGCGTCCCGACATTGCTCTCTCCCCACTCACCACGGAGATCTGGATTTCTGATCTGGCAAAGAAACGTTACACGCATTCTAACTTTTCCATTCCTTCTCCCTCTGAGGCTGAAAGAGATCAACTTAATACCAGACAAGTGTGGAAATAAACCACCCCCCACCATCACCTGGAATGAGAAAATTGCTGGACATGATACAGTGTTCTGCAATTCAAAAAAAAGAAACTACTTTAAGGCATTGAAATGCTTCTCCCTATGAAACAGATTTCCTGAAAGAAACAGGAAAAAGTCTTAGCAAATCTCTCATTTGCATTCTTAGCAGGGCATGAAAGGACTTTGCATGCCCACACCTGCCACACCACGTGCTCTAGGGGTTCCTTCATCTTTGCTGAACCGTAAACACCCCCAGGACACCATCATCTTCCCTGAGAGCAGACTCTATTAGGACTGTGTTGGGGATATTGATGCCTCATCCCCACCCTGGCATCTATCAGCATCATAATGTCAGTGAGAGCTCCTGCTAACAGTGACTTCCAAGCCACCTAGTTTCTTATATTGGTCCCCAAATTGCTCCACAATTTAAAAAAAATGTAGGTACTCCAAGTTCAAACCACTTTTTTATGTCCAACCACCTACACACCAGCTGCTGAATGGGGAACGTGAGTCTGGTGCATCAAAGGCCTCCCCTGCGGGATCTGCTCCTGACGGCACACTTGCCCATCTATCTCAAAGGAGAGACTTCTCTTACAAAAACTCATTCCCCATCTCCACTCAGAAGTGCCCTTTTCATGATAATCGGTTTCCATTCCTGATGCTTTCTCAATGCCACCCGTATCTAGACTGCTAGAGAAATGAATCATCCAGAAGAATGTGACCCCCCTGGTCAGAAAAGGACCTGAGAAAAAGTACATGGCCTGGCCCTCCAAATGGGAGATGACAAAAGCATGCTGGAGGTGAGGCATCTGCCCCCTGTGCCCTTCAAAATAGCAAAGGGCCTCGACTCTATGGTCCTCCCTCTCCTCTTGTGCACCCACCCTCCCCCCAGCACCACCACAATGCCCATCCTCCCTATCTTCTGCCATTCTGCAGTTTCAAGGCCCTGACTTCCACCCAGGGCCTCAGGAACCCATCCGTTAATCTGAGATGGAGAGCCTAAGTATCAGCTTGATAAAGTGCAGGACTCATGGAGATGCTATCTCCAGCTGGACTTCTGGAAAGGATATGGGCTCGAGGAACAATTGTGAGAAACTGCCTCTAGCCCTGGAACCTGGCAGAGCAGGTTCAGGTTTCCATCTGGCAGTGCAAGGGAATCCCAGTCGTGTTATGCTCAGGGAGAAGTAGGAGCTAAGAAAATCTGGGCTGACTCAGCACGCTTATAGGTTCCCCCTGCTCCCTCAGTCTATATGCTTCCCTACATCTTCAAAGTATTTTTAGTAAATTTAATCCATTTCTTTTAATTGAAATGTTTTACTCCATTGAAAGCATGAAAGTATCACCTTTTATTTAGCCATTCCTCCAACTCACTTTAAAAAAGCAAGTTTCACAATATGTAGAGTATAGTAAATATCAGACTCATCAAACTGATATCCACACAAAAAATACTACATATTTGCTATGGATATGTGTGTGTGTGTGTGTGTGTGTGTGTGCTTGTAAAGTGTTTTTCAAAGGATTGAAAGGACATACAAAGTAATCAAAATGATATTTACCTTCTGGGAGAGGGGAAGTTATCAAAATGGAGAGTGGTGAAGGGATTTGAGCTTTATCTGAATTGTTATACTTTTTTTTTTTTTGTGAAGAAGATTGGCCCTGACCTAACAACTGTTGCCAATCTTTCTCTTTTTGCTTGAGGAAGATTAGTCCTGAGCTAACATCTGTGCCAATCTTCCTCTATTTTGTATGTGGGTTGCCACCACAGCATGGCTTGACGAGTGATGTAGGTCCGCGCTTGGGATCCGAACCCACGGACCTGGGCCACCGAAGCAGAGCATGCTGGACTTAATCACTATGCCACAGGGCCGGCCCCTGAATTGTTATACTTTTTAAAAAGAATTATTCATCTCTTATTGTATAACATAAAATTAATTTAACATAAGAAAAATCGCTGGCCTGATGCCTCAGACACTCAGGAAGTGTATTAGCCAGGATTCTCCACAGAAAACAGGACCAATAGGCATATATAGGAATAGAGAGAGAGATTGAGAGAGAGAGACTTATTTTAAGGAATTTGCTTATGTGATTGTCAGGGCTGGCAAGTCTGAAATCCATGAAAGGAGGAGCAGACAGGAAACTCAGGCCTGATTTCTATTTTACTCAAGGAATTCTTGAGGAAGAACTCCTTCTTCTCTGGGAAATCTCAGCTTTTGCCCTGAAGGCTTTCACCTCCTTGGATGAGGCCCATCCGTGTTATGGAGGGTAATCTGCTCTGCTTAAATTCAAATACTTTCACAGCAACATCTTACACTAGCGTTGACCAAACAACTGGGCATTCCAGCCTAGCCAAGTCTGACACATAATATTTTACCATCACAAGGAGTTTCTTCAGCTTCTTCTTCTGATCTTCTCCTCAAAATAGTAGAAGCTCTCAGATTTCAGTCTTAGACTTGTGTGTTCTTACCAGGATTCTGCCCAGATCTTTAGGGCTGATGTCTCTGGCTTTTGATTTTGGGCTTGCCTCTGGATCACCTTGGTTCCATGCTTTTCACCCACAGCCCATCCCTGCTCCATCCCTGTGTACAGTCTATCCCAGTGCCCTGGCCTTCTGCTGATTCTGGGTGATGGACTTTAAACAGACAAAAAGCTCTGTTTGAAGGAATCGTGAAAAACTCTTCATGAAGGAATTGCGATATTAAATGAGCAGCATTCTGCCTTTTTTTGTTTTTACTAACTATAAATTATTCAGCGGAACTTTAAGATTACTATATTATAAAATTCTGTCAAAGGAAAAAGAGTAAGATAACTCGTAATCACACTACCCTAAAATAACCACTCTTAACATTTTAGTCTACTTCAGTCTTTTACCTACTTGTATAATTTTGCAAAGTTATAATCATACCCAATATGCAATTTTATCATGTTTCTCCACTTACCATTATAAGCATATTTAATGTTACTACATAATCTTCATGGCTGTCGTTGTTAATAGCTACATAATAGTTCACTGAATTGAAGTGCTGTATTGACTTAACTATCCTGTTATCTTTAAGCAATTTTCAATTTCTTCTTACAATAAATATGCACATCTTTGTGATTGTAGTGTTCTTTTTTCACACATTTAATTCTTTCACATGGATTTAAATTACTTGGTCAAAGAATACATATATTTTTTTGTCTCTTGACATATATTTCCAAATAGATTTTTTTAAAGGTTGCATCAATTTACACTGCCATCCATGTAAATAAGGGCCTTTGTGTCTTTGTTCTCTTGAGAGAGAGCTCTGACAGGTGGGGATATGAGCCCAGGAGGAAGACATTCCAGCACCAAAGGCTGAGCCTTGCATTCTGTAAAGTACCCTGGTCCTCACTGGTACACTGGTTTTGTGTTGCTTTGTTTCTCACAGACTGAGCAGTTGATAACTCTGTGGGTCCTCTTTGTTTTCACCATTGTTGGAAACTCCGTCGTGCTGTTCTCCACATGGAGGAGGAAAAGGAAGTCAAGAATGACCTTCTTTGTGACTCAGCTGGCCGTCACAGGTAAGTAACCGTGCAGATGGGGGAGGAGGAAGCTGTGTACAGAATTGCTATGGCTCCTCACTTTCAATTATTTTACCAATAGAAATGGTATCCTATCAGTCCAAAGGCATCAGCAAATGTAGGAGAAATTTCTATGGGAATATAAATCCCATGTTTGAATTTTTCTTCCAGAAAATTTAACACATTTAAATATCTATAAGATCCCATTATAAAAATAGCTCACTATACACAGAATTGAAAAATACTATCTTCAGCACCACCAAAGGGTTCTATAGAGTTTCACTCTTCCTATACACAGCAGCCTCCATAATTCACAAAGGTGGTATTACCATATCATACCGTGTTATGAGCTTAAGGAATATATCCCAGAAAATGGACCAGAATTGTCTCTACTCAATAACAAATGTGAAGCCACAAGTACTTTGCAGATTTAAGTCTGTGGGCATTGTTTTCTAAATGTAAGCAACATGCAACACTACTGCTGGGCATAGTGTAAGGACATGAGACAATATCCAGGATAGACACTGAAATGTGGATGCTGGGAATGGCCAGTACAGTCAAAGTGTGACTGCATCACACCTGGAGGGGGGAATGGTGAGATATTCTTAAGTTAAAAAAAATGATCTGTGAAAGAAAGACCTCACAGAGATGGGTAGAGTCCAAATAGGTAGGGCTCATGTTCAACAGGAAGACATAACCAGGGACAGTCCTATTCCCACAGGCCAGAGAAGAGAGTGGGCAGATGGGATTCCCAGAGGGTCCAGCCTAAGACAGACATGGAGTCCTGAGCTCTGGGAACAAGACGGCGATCATAAGAGTTTAATTTGAGTCAGACTGTAGGGCAAATGCAAAGAATTATTTTAAAGTGTTAAGTGCTAACAAGAAGCAATGGTAGATGACTGTCAGAGAGGGCTGTTTGGTACATTTCCACGTGTGCTGTACTCTCAGTTGCAGTAGTGGCAGTGGAGAGTTCTTGGGAATTTAGTCTTGAGCCACAGTACATGAAAAATACAACACTGTAACTTACAAGAGAACCATAACCATACATTGTTGATAGCCTGAAATTCCCCCACTTCTCTCACAAACAAAGTGTAGACACCCCATTTGCTTGAGCTGGGCTACGGTGACCAGGATGAAAAACAAAGGCACTATTGATAAATAAAGAGATGTAAGAGGAGCCTGAGTTACAAAGGTGGGGCTTATGATGGGGAAAACTCCTTCAGGCTTTCCTATAAGCAGGAGCCCCATTTTTCACTCCTATGATTGTAGGAGTAAAGAGTAATTAGGATTACCCAGCAAGTGCTGAGATGCAAAATCCTTGGATGAGGGTGTGTAATAACTTACTTTCATTGTATTTCTTCAATTGCATTCTATGGAACTATGTGTTCTTTTTTAGAGTGTAAGAACTTAGAGGTGGCAAGGATGTCAGCGTGAAATTTAAAGTATTGTCAAAAATAATCATTAAATGAATAACTGAAATTTCACCATCTATTTTCAAAGTCGTGTGTTCTATTCGAATCCATAGTCTGCTGTATTAACCTAGGCTTAATTTTTCGTGAATGTTTATAGTCTGTTTTTTGATTTGTTAATTTCCTCTGGAAAAACTCAAGAGGTCAGATCAGGAGGATTTCAAGTGAAGAATTCTTGGAGAGGAAAGTTTTGCCATCTTATTTAAGATATTAAAATTTGCTCCATACGCATTTCACCATGATCTCAGATCCTTTGGTACGGGAGTTGAGAATACACATCTGAGTGTTCAGTATATATATAAAAGTTACTCAGGTATCAACTGAAGGATCCTATTCTTTGAGATTTATATAAATTTGATTTGAGTCCCCTATCCCATGTTAATGTACTCACCAAGATTTCTTCAGATTTTCTGGGCTTTATATTCTTACTCATCACGTCTCGTTCTCACTTCCTAACTCCGCTGAACTGCTCCCTTTCACGGGCATCTCACCTTCCCAGTTAGTCTTTTTTTTTTTTTAATCCATACTGACCCTAAGAAGGCACTCAGCTCACTTTTTTTTCATTTTCTTTGCAATCACCCACAGAAACATGACTTTTTACTTTTAAAAGACTTTACCAAATGTTTCAGGCAACAGAGGGAGATTTCATTATAGCAAAGTAAACATATTAAAATGGAATATTATATATTATATATAACTTGCAGCTACCACCAGAAATTTCTCAATTTACCTTGCTGTAGTCTTTTGTCTTATTTTCACTTTTCCACTTTCTCTCTCCTATAAGTACCTATTTATCATATGCCAAGGAGTTTTTTTTCCTACTCTTTTCAAACCATGACCTTGGGGATACTACATCTTCAAAAAAACCCAAAAATATTGGGCACTTTTTTTTTAAAAAAATGAAATTGCTCCCTAAAAAAGAACCCTGGAGCCAGTTACAAAAATAAATAAACAAACATACACATTTATGTTTATACTTACATATGTCATGGCTAAAAATAAACTAGTCTGACTTATATATAACTGTAAGATACATAACAATAGTTCAAGAATATATTACGTGACTTCTGCTTTCAAAAATTTTGAACTGGTTCATTTAAGACCAATACTTTTACCTACAACAATTAGAAAACCTGGACAAACTGTAACCACTTGTTAGAAGGTATCACAGAACTACCAAGATAGCTAAGAATTGAGAAACCAAGAGGCTATAGAGCAGGGAACCCTGAGATGTAAGTCCAATATTTGGCAGCACTATTTCTCTCAAGGCATTAGCTGATTTAAAAGCAGAGGCTGGGAACCTAAGAAGCTGAGTAGACCTTTTGATAGTCTCACTAGACCAACTGAGCAAAAATACCAAAGTGTAGGGGCTTTCATAAATACCCTTTGGTTTCTACTGAGAAAACTGAAGAGTTACAACCTACAAGTAAAGGTGAGCTGAGAATAGATCAGCCTTCACAAAGACTGAAGTACAACTCAATCCCTGACTGGAGTAAGATGATCTACCTCTGCACTTAGTCTAACGGTCTGCAAGGTGCAAAAGTAAATCTTCTTTAGAGCATCATAACATCATCAATAGCAACAAATTAACTATAATTTTTCATGTACAATGTTCAGCACTTGATTACAAAATAACCAGGAGTGCAAAAAGACTATAACTGACAAAAAAACAAGAAAAGTATACAGTAAAAAGAGTTGCACAAGAGGTTCAGCTATTGGAGTTATCAGACATAATTTATAACTGCTATTAATCTGTTTAAGAAGCTGAGAGGTAAGAGGAAAGATTGAATATCATACAACATATACAAACAGAAAATTTAAGAAGAAAATATGTAAAATGACTAAAGTTAAAAATACAATAGATGGTTTTAGTAGCAAATGAAACATAGCTGAAGAGAAAATTATTAAGCTGCAATACAGGTCAGAAAAAAGTAATCAGATTAAAGCATGGAGAAATAAAAAACGGAAATACAGGGGCCGGCCCGGTGGCGCAAGCGGTTAAGTGTGCACACTCTGCTGCGACAGCCCAGGGTTCGCCAGTTTGGATTCCGGGCGTGCACCCATGCACCGCTTGTCAAGCCATGCTGTGGCGGCATCTCATATAAAGTAGAGGAAGATGGACATGGATGTTAGCCCAGGGCCGGTCTTCCTCAGCAAAAAGAGGAGGATTGGCAGATGTTAGCTCAGGGCCAATCTTCCTCACACACACAAAAAAAGACAGAAATACAGAAAGAAAATAAGAAACATATGGTCACAGCAAAAAGGATTACCAGAAAGAAATAAGACAGGCTGGACAGAAACAATATTTGAGGATATCATGGCCAACAATTTTCCCAAATTCCCTAAAGAGATCAAACCACAGATTCATAAAATACCATAAAGGTAAACAGGATTAAAAAACAAACAATCAGGGCCAGCCCCAGTGGCCTAGTGGTTAAGTTCAGCATGCTCCACTTCAGTGGCCAGAGTGCAGTTCCTGGGAATGGACCTACACCACTTGTCTGTCTGTGGCCGTCCTGTCACGATGGCTCACATACAAAAAAGAAGAAGATTGGCAACAGATGTTAGGTCAGGGCAAATCTTCCTCAGTAAAAAGAGAAAGATTAGCAACAAATGTTAGCTCAGAGAAAGTCTCCCTCAGCAAAAAAGAAAACAATCAAACAAATATAAAAAGAATTACAATACATTAAAATGATGGGATTAAGTAAAATCTCTGTAATCTTGAATTTGAATTGGAACTATCTGTGTTAAATCATGGTATATTTTATGGTTAAAAAGAGTTATTATATTTTTAGGATACATACTGAAAACGTTTACAGGTAAATTAAAAACGTGTCTTGGATTCACTTCAAAATTATTTGACGGCAGGGTTGAGTACACATAGATGACAAAATTGATAATTATTGGAGCCTGATGGTGAGTACATTCAGTTCTTTATACTTATACTATTCTCTCTATTTTTACATATTTTTGAAATTCTTCATAATAACAAAATTTAAAACAAAAAGAAAAAATATACATGATAACAATGGGACAAAAGAGGTATTTGAGAGTTAAAGACTTTAAAGTCTTTGGATTGTCTTGGATGTAGTAAAAGCACTAATTTACATTAAACATTTATAAGTCAGGGACCCAACAAAATCTATAAAATTCAAGTACCATCTAGTAAGTAACCAAAGAGAAAACTATGTGATTTCAAAATGTTTGATTATTTAAAACTTTTCAATTATAGTTAAAAAACATTTTATAATTTTCACAGGTTTCTTATTTTCTTCCCAATAGTTCTAAAAAGCTATTATTGAAGTAAATGAGTCAATATAAGAATAGTTTACTCTTATCTTTTCCTCTTCCTCCAAACCACATCAAACACTTTCTATTGATTAGCTTTCTTATTATGCTCCCAATCTCTTTTACCTCAGATAACAGACTCTATTTCATGATTTTTTTAAGTGCTTTGAATGCATTCACTTGCATTTTCCCCTATACTAAATGATTTGGGGGTACCTATTGCAATAATACTTCAGAACTTTA